GCAGGAGCACAGCCGGGCAGCGCTGCACCGCGGCAGCTCCATCTTTATAAACTTTTCAATTCTGGTTCCAGCTTTCTTTTTGACAGCGGAGAAGTTAATGCTTAGCGGTGTGCACGGGCAGGTACGTAGAAATGTGAAATGTTTACCGCTAACGTATTTGTGTATGTGTTTCATTTGAGGAGAAATGATTGATTGTCGTGTGTTTTTACCCTGCTTTTTGAGGTCATAATTAATCTTTGAGTCTTCTGCGTTGTCGTGTAATCGCTTAAGGTAAATACCTGTAAGCAGCATATGTGTGTTGTTACTGTTTTCAAAATGGCTGTTAAAAACGGAATTACTAACAATCTGTGTTAAAGTTCTAGTTATCGTAATGTCTTTCTTTTCCTCAATGTACTCTTTTTTTTTATCACCCAAACTTTCTTCAGTGCCTCCACTTATGAACTCCACGTTAATAGGGTGCATTAGAACTTTTGAACTTGTTTCTTGTCCCCATAGATATTGTTTGTACTCATACATTGCATAAGGTTGCTTTAAAATTTCAGAGGCAGTTACAATGTCAGTGGTTCTCTAATTGCATATACTTTCTTTATTAAATGAGTAAATTTTTAATGTTGCTTTCTTATTTGTGTTATTTAGGTGCTGTTTCTTATGAACTAAACCAACAAAATCCTATTCTTCCCCCCTGCGTTTTTGAACTATGTTAGTGTGGATCTTGCAAATACAGTTGTTTAAAACCACATATAAAACTAGATTTCCCACCCCCCCATCCTCCCCCGGGTGAAAGGTACATTGGTCTGGAGTTGCACAACATTCTCCACAGTCCTTTGAATGTGTTATGTCTAGGCTGAAAATTGGATTTTTTTTTTTTTCCTTAAAATTGAGGTTTATTTGTCTTCATTTATTAGTGAAATGTGGTTGGGTTTGTCTCTTTACTACTGTTTACTTGAAAGACAGATTATGTTGTTGTGTTAGTAGGAGCAGGTGTGCTTCATTTAATCAGATGCATTGTTAGGTGAAGTGGTCAAAGCTGGATTCGGTTTCTGTAGCAACTTAGGACTACTTTTTATTTGCAGCACAGCTGCTTGTGCAGTTAATTTAAACCAGCTGGATATGCTCCTGGATGGGCTTGTGATTAGTTAAAAAGGTTCTTAAAGTCTTTGACGACTTTAGGTTCCTGATTTAACTACTGAATTTAGAGGCTATGCAGTGATCTGTGACTTCAAATTGGCTTACTAATTATATTTGGATTCAATGAATTCTTTGAGGAACTAATGCAACAAAACTACGTTTTTATTGCAATTGCTATCTATATTGGAGAAAACTTTTTTCTTGCTTTTTTTATGTGAAGTCAGAAATACATTGTCACATTCTTGCTGCTATCTAGTAGCTGCCTGTATTCACTAGAGGTAGAATCTTTCCTGTTCATGATGCTTTTAGCAGAGTGAGCTACCATGTTTTTTAGGAAACTTTTTTGCATTCAGAATTAATGAGCAAGTGGCTTTTCTGTTCTTGTAGTGTGTTTAAGTGGACTTTCTAGGGATTAAGTAGGAGTTACATTAATGACAGAGTGCTGTAGAGTTAAGAGCAGCAAGCCTAATAATGTTTTCAAGTTGGTGGCAGAATTCCTGTCAAATTTGGTTGCTGAGGATCAAGGTTTATATGTTAATTTAATCTTCCATTGTATGAATGTTTTGACACCCTAGAATTCTTTATGAGGGTATATACTATTGTACTTGTTGAAGGTACCTGGATATTTAAAAACTGTATTTAATAATTCTTCAGTTCTCTAAATTCATAAAATAATAGAGTTGACTCATTTTAAGTAGAGGGGTAGGAGAAACAATTGCCTAATGCTATATTTGAATTTCTTAATTCCTTGGACAAAAACTTTATTTTGAATATAGTTTTGTCTTGGTTTTTCTTTTCCCCTAGGAAATATACTTATTTTGTTTTATCTAGTAACATTGATTCTGAAAAATGGACAGCAATGTTTGTCAAGTTTATGAAGATGAAATCCATTCACTGGAAGAGGAAATTAAACTATTGGCTGAAAAGTATGAAGATAGCCAACAGGAATCCACCTTTTTTTCTGATGAGGAGATATTAATGTCAATGTATGGGTTTTTTTCACATGTTGGGTTAATAGTGTTTCTTTTGTCAAAGTTGTTTAGGATAAGCTTTTGCCTCTGTTAGGCCTTTCCCTCTGTTAGTTTTACAGTGCTGATCTTGTTTAGGACATGGGCTATATATGGAGAAAGATCACAAATAATAAATAGTTGATCTCTCTCTTTACTGTCTTCTGTTGGTAGTTTGGGGGGGTTTAGGGTTTTGTTTTTTTGTTTCCTGAAAGGCAATGTTAGTGGTTAGAGCATGATATCGGGTACATTGCTGTGCAGGCCCTGCAAAGTTGTCTGCAAAGGCCATATTTTCCATTATGCACTGTGAAACAGCTCAGTGCCAATTTAATTAAAAAAAACCAAACCAAAAAAACAACCCAAAACAAAACAACCCCAAAAAACCTGAGAAGATGGGGATTGGAACTGGGGACATGTACAGGTGTGACTAGATATATGCTAAACAAAATGCCATATTTGATCTTTTTATTTACATTGTTTAACTGATACTCTACAGTAAACGTACACTCCGTAGATAAAATAAGTAATTTAGATAGTAAAGGCATCACAGCTCATTTTTGTTGTACATTCCTTAAAATGGATACTTGCATCTCAAGACTTATAATAAAAGCTGTCTACACAGTAGGACACATAAAATATTTATGTAAGTTAGAATAGTTTACTGGTCCTACTAATGTCTTCCATCTGAATTGTGGCTTACTGAAAACTGGTCTTGCTCAGAAAACCATCAGATCATGTTAGAAGTGCCCTTTTTAAATGGTATTGCTGTACTGATGTGACAAAACATATTCTTATGTCTTGGTCTTTTGCCCTTTTGATTTTTTTTGTTTTTTCCTTTCAATTCTAGAAAATCATTCCAAAGAGAACTTCGGGGAGAATCTGAGGGATATGAATCTCCATCAGACCTGAAAGCTCACCTTGAAACTCTAGAAACAGATCTCTCATTTTTAATGAAATTTACTGGTATTCAGTTCACAAGTCATTCCAAGAAAACACTGGAAAAAAGTAAGCATTTTTGTGCCCTTTTCTGGTGCTATATGAGCATCCTGTTTCCATTCATTGCATTTACAAATGCATGTTGTAATTCTAATTTCAGTTTTAGCAGAAAGACAATTATTTTGAAATACAGTAGAATTTTCTCTATTGACGAGTAGTTTTTGAGTATTTTCCCACTGCCATAGTGGGAAAACGAAAGACTGCTGTAAAGCTAGATTTGGTTTTTTTTAACATCTTTAACTTGATTTTGTTATGTGATGGATGATATCAGATGGTACTTTCAATATGATGAATGGAAGAGATGCAATAGTTGTTGTATTAGAATTCTAATCAAGTGTTTTGTTAACTTCATTTTATAACAGCTAGAAACAGAACAGTGAGGAAGCACAGATTATCAGGGAATTGCCACTCCCTGTCTTTTCAATTGGAATTCCAGCTTCTTGAAATGCAGGTAAGGATCAATGAACACCTAAACCCCCAACAACCACCAAGCAACCAAACAGAACTTCAAATGGACAAATGTCAATACTTCCTTTTCCGTCTGAAAATGGTATTTTGTCATTTTGATTGCCTGAGTCTCCTTAACCTAAGTCTCAGTGGGTTGCTTTCACTCTGTAGCAGCTGGACCCAACTTTTGAATTCCATGTGCATCCAAGCAAAATAGTTCTGAAGGTCAGGTTCAACATTCAGTTGTGAAATCCTTATCACAGAATCATTTAGGTTGGAAAAGACCTTTAGGATAATAGAGTCCAACCGTAAACGTAACACTGCCAAGTCCAAATCACCCTTCCTTCCCAAAACATGCACCCTGCAGGATGCTCTTGCAGTCTAACATTGAAGTAAAGCCCTGAACAGCACTGGATTTCCACCAACTCTGCCAGGTACCTGCTGGGGTCTTGTCCTGACACAGCACTAGTTTCATCCCACAGCTGTCTCTGATCTCCCCCCAGCACATTCTGTAGTCAGGTATCTTGTTCTGGAGACTGGAAAATTCCAAACCTTACTTCTCTTGAGGAAACTGAAACTAAAACACTTCAAACTTGAACTTTTTTTTTTTCTTTGCTTCAGTTCTATTTCTAATTTGCTTGGGTAGTGTCAGCAGCCATTACGTCACAGGACTGCACAGAAGTTGTACTAAATACAGATTTTTTTTGCAAGGAAGCTCTTTCATAATAATCTATTCTTAGCACAGAATTCAAAATGGTAAACAGTGGAAAACAGCTACTATCCCAATTTGTTATAATATACCCCAATTTTTAATAATATTTTTGACATCAGAAGTTTCCTTCTTCTGAAAACTTACTTTTCGGCTCAGCTTTAAAGGTATTTTTTAAATTGAATGTGATTGAACTTAATAGTATTCAAAACCGCCTTGCTATGTAAAGCTGTTCTTTCTAATCTTAAGAAAAGCCATATCATGAATTTAGAAAATGAATATTTAAATAGTCACATGTGGATTGCATAAAACGAATGAGGTAATTTTGCAGTCTTCTTAAGTCCATGAATGACTTGAAACTTACGGCCCCAGTGGTACTATTTTACCATGTTCTTGTATAAAACTGCAGTTAGGTTTGAGCATGGAAATAGCTCACATCAATCACGCTAACTTGCTTAGATTAATATTAATGTCTCACTTGTATGCTCCTGTGGAATGATGACATCTTTTAGTGTCAATCTAGCTGAGATGATGTAAATTTACTGGATGTATATTCATAGCTACATTGATTGATGCTGCTTAAATCTATTACACCATTTGATGGCAGCACTTGTCCAAGTAATGCCTGGAACTTGTAGTATTTCAGCACGGATGAAATATGCTGGAGTAAGAGGCATATAGAATACCAAGTGTGTATATTTAGAAAAAACAATTCAGGTCAGTAGGTTGTCTGTGGATGCAGGAGTCTGCCTCCATAGCTCTCAGGAAAGTTGTGACTTCAGGCCAGACTAAGACCTGAAAATTATCTTTAACTTTTTTATGCCTCTGGCTTCTTGTGTATAAAAATGGAGAAATGTGTTTTCTAAGATATGGCATAAGGGGTTGTATTCAAAACAACCTGTACTGAGATCAGTGTGGGCAAGCTAGTACGGTTGCAGCTTTTTTTTTTTTTTTTTTTTTTTTTTTTGGGAATGCTTTGTAGGTAGCAAATACATTAGTATGCAGCAGAAGAGGAAGGATAATTCTCTAATTTGATCTTAAATTCTTACATGTCATTCACCTTAAAAGCTGTATTCCAGGATACGGTTGTACAAAGAATGGTGGGCAGATCTGATTTCACTCTGACTAGCTTTAAATGCTTGAGGTTGTGTCTGTATTACTGTAGTATTGGTCACTGACTGCCTGACATCTTAAAAAAACAACTGAGATATACAGTTTTGGCACAGTCTGATTAATGCATAGTTCATGTTCCCAAGCTGACTAGTGTTTTGCCAGCTTAGAGTGCAAGCTAACAAGCTCCTATCTGCTCACCATTGTGCATAGGTGAATGTTTACAAAGATCAAAATGTGAGTGAGGAAAACAGGCAAATGCAAAAGCACTGTTTTATTTATTTTCCTCTCTACCTGTCCTTAGGTATTAGGAGAGGACGTATACAATTAGTTTGAAAATCTGCCAAAACACGTCTAAACCTCTTGAGAAAGCAATTGTTCGAGTTGCTTCCTGCTCAAGAGCTTTCCTTTTGAATCTTCTAATTTGAAGATTTACAAAAATCTTAGAAAAGCCAAGTTTATTCAGAAGGTAGGATGTTAGCCTGTGGACTACCAGCAACTTCTCTACAACTCCATGCATGTGATGAACTTTTTGCTCTAAATTTAGAATGATTTTTTTTTTTTTCTGATATTATTTACTCAATCCACTAAACTTTGTAGTGTTTTGGTTTGCTTTTTCCATTTTTAGTGATGACAGTGTTAGCAGCATACCTGTCCAACCGGTAGTAGGGATTGCTGTATATGTTTGCATATCCAGCTTGTCTATTTAGTTTCCGTTGCCATTCCCATTTGCTTGTTGTGACCGGGTATAAGAAAAATCAAGTACAATGTCTCCAGTAGAAAGTGAAGCATTTGCTATAGTCTTCAAGCCATGATTTTAAGCTTTTTCATTCACTGTTATCTAACCTGTTACTCTGGTGTGTTCAAGAATGTGTTAAAAAAAAAAAAAAAATAAATTCTTTGTGGCTTCATTTCTACTATATGAACTTGGTGGGGTGTTTTTTTTTTGGCGTTTTTTTGTAATTTTAGGAGGCTGTTAGATATCTAGAAACACTTTATTTTTACTATCACGCACATATCCCCCAGTGACAGTTATTACTGTAAAAATGTATGGAATTTGGGGCAAAACTATAGGCTTTAAAATGGAAAAAAAAAGGAAAACAGGATTTTTTTTAATTTTAATTTTTTAAAACTTAGGATAGCATTATTGTGGTTTTCAGATGAAACCTTATATTTGAATTTTCTGATATATGTGACAGCTAGGGATTTTTCTGGAAAATTAAAGGAATCTTAAAGAAGTGATATGAAAGGAAGTAGATGGACCTCTTTTATACACAGATATAAAGGAAGACTTCTTTATATTTTCTCAATAGCTGACAAGTTCAGCTATTGTTCCAAAGCCTTGTTGTATGGATAATATTGATGCTGTTGAAATGAAAGCAATTGTCCACACATATAAGCTGTAGTTTAAAAAATGCCATTTTAAGAATTGTGTTACTTGGCATTTGCATATATTTTTGCTTATTTTATATACAAATAGATACATCTATTTCTCCATGTTAGAGAAATTTCTAACATACTGTGTTGTTACTTATCTGATCTAGAGCAAAGCAAATGTGTCTGCTGTTATTACGGATCTCAGCATTATAATGGAGCCTGGAGGAGATTCAGATTTGTCCAAATTTGTGTCAAGGTAAGGCAGAGGTTTTTGTTGAAGTAAAGTTATTGTATGGGATATCTGATAACTAAAGGCAATATTGAGTTGTCATGTAAATTGCTGTCAGCCAGTTTCTGTGTTTGGTAATGTTCTGTTAGCCCAACCTAAACTCTTCTTACTCCTTGTCTGTATCCTTCTGGAGAGAAGATGAAATTTTTAAGGCTGGAAAGGAGCATTACAAATGCATGTTAAACGGAAAGAGTTTTAGGATTATCATGTGTTTTAGCTGTTTGATTTTGTTTGGTTTAAAGAAAGAATAAGATAATCTCAGCTATCATATTTTAATTTATAAAATCAACATGTTAATTGCTGCTCAGATGTGTATGCGAGTTGTAGATGTGGGTGACTAATGGCTAAAAGTGTGTCCCCAGAACCACTTTCCAGTAGTTGCCTGTTTCTAATCGTCTGCTCACCATTCAATTTCTTTTCATCAGGATTTGTTTCACTGATATTTTAAATATAGTAAAATATAGTTTAAAAACCTAGAGTAGTGTATTTGTGCAATGGCTTAAGAAAATGTGCATACTAAAACTTGAGCATATGACCGAATGCTGCTGCTTGATTGTTTTCTGGAGGTTGTTACACAGGATGAATAATGATCAATTTGTCTCCATTATTCCACTTTGAAATCTGCTAGCAGATCTCTCTGAGAACAGATCTTTTCTTTCTAATTATTATTGGGTAGTTTACTTAATCCTATTCTCTAAGTGATTTCTGTAGTTTTATATTATTTAATTAGACTTTGGGAGGGAGAAGGAAGGCAAACGAATGGGTGAAAAGAAAGATCTGTTCAGTTAGCTCAGGCTTCACTAGCCTGTACTCTGAAACCTGAGGCTTTGGAATTTCCATACAAATACACTAAAGCTAGTGGTATAACTGAGAATAGTAGTTGACTGCTCTCAAGAAGTAGGGTTTAGAAGAGGAAATTACCTTGTTTGTTGTTGGTTTGTTTGGGTTTTTTTGTTTTGTTTTGGTTTTTTTGGGTATTTTTATGAGCATTTTCTGACAGCAGAAGCGTCTTGGAACTTAATAGTCTTACTGGAAAGGAATGTGTTGAAGTAGTGGCAGACTTTATTTCATCCTGGCTTAAGCACTGCTGCCTTGTCTCTGTCTCTTCACTACCCTGGTCCTTTTCCATGTTATGCCAGTATTAATGAGTAAACATAAGTTTTCATGAGTGAGGTAAGATGAATTAAGGCTTTGCTGTCAATAAAACAAGCAGTTCGTTCTTTCTCCTTAGCTCTGTTTGCATGTACCATCTGCTGACCTTGTGTTAGTGGGATGCCCCTGACTATGTCACTAAATATCTAACAGCCTTGGCCACCTTGCCCTTCCCCAACCCCTTGAAATTTATTTTTATTCTCTTTGTCTTGTCCCACAAACAATGTTTGTTGCTGATCTCGGGCAGTAGATATGTAACCAGAGTGGGACTGATGTTCACTATGTCTGACAGCAACCCTCTGTTAGATTGACTAAATCTGATTGTGTGATCTCCCTTTATGGCTTGTTTTCCCAATCCCCTTATTAAACTAGTTTTATTTTCTTTAAGCCCTAATCCCCTCTTTCCATGTCCAGTTTCAGGCTTTTTCCAAATTGCTCTTTATTCTTCAGTGCATCAGCTACTCTTGGAATCTTGATTACTACCTATTCCTTCCCTTTCACTCCATTCTTGCTGTATCGTTTATTCTTTTCAGCCTCCCTACCGGTCTCCTTTTCCTTCCTTTGCCTCCTTGGCCTAATCTTGCCAAATCATTGTCTAGCTCTGTTCTATTTTCTGTGCTGGCCTGGATTTTTTCTCTCCTCAGTTTTTTAATTATTTTTTTTTTAATAAGTTTTTCATAATGCATGACAGAAGAAGGGTCTTTAAGAGCACCAGACTTAAAAACTTGGCATTCAGTTGTGATTTCCAAGCCCATAATGCTTTGGAAGAAAACAGAGGAATGCTAGAACACTTCAGCAACATCTTTTTAAAAGAAGCAAAATTCAGCAGGCTATTTTCAATCAGGTACTGCTGCAATATATAATACATTTTTAAAAGATGCACTATTCCTTAAATATGTTGTAACAATAAAATATGTATGCAAATGGAGTCACATTGTTTAGTCTTCTATTTTGGGATTTTACTTGTCTCCCGTTTGTGCCAGTTATCACTTTTATTACACTTCGTAAGTGTTGAGGACCACAATACCTGTGAAAGTCTCGGTCAAATTGAATGTGTGTAATTTCTTTTTTTCTTTTTTTTTTTTTTTTTTCTTTCATTTTTCACTTGATATCCCATTAATTGTAGGGTTAGTTCACTGCTGCGTGGATTACTTAGTCAAATAGAAGTTTTCAGATGATTTCCTACTTTTTACTAACTAGTTAGAATTTGTAAGTCAGAGTGAAGGATTTAGGACAGGTCTGCATTTAATATATATTAAACACTGCATGGGCAAGGTATCTTGGAAATGAGGGGAAACATGAATTCTTCCCACAGCTGTAAGTCATTCATTGGTTTTATATGTTAATGCAAGAAGTCTTGCATACTGCACTGAGTTAAAATATATTTCCTCTCACAAAATAATTAAAGGAGTCTTAAATACTTTTACTACAGTTAAGTTTCTTATATAGTTTTGGTGATATTATTTTGAAAAACGAAATAGTGTCGGGATGAAGGTCATGTGATTTTAACCTGACACAGAGTTACTCTCTGCCTGAGTGTGTTTTTTGCTGGTTTTGGATAACCTCTTTGTTACATGGATGTTGGCTTTGGAGATGGGCGGTTTTGGCTCCCAGTGGATTTCTTTTTTTTTTTTTTTTATTTGTCCAATGACATTTTGTAATGCTAAATTCTTTCCAAAACAAAAAAGAGGCTTAAGTTTTTAACATGCACTCTATTAGTACCTTGTTATTTTATACCAAGTTCTCTTAGCATTTTAGTGTTTGTTGTAGTTGGCTTCAGCATTAGGAATTAGGCTAACTTAGTCTTATTAGGAATTATTGTTTATGGGAACTTTAAGTGCTGTGAGACATTTAACTGAAATGGTGCTCTTATGCAGCCTTTTGCTTGCAAATACATAAAAGCATGTCTAATGCATATGTCTGTTCATGCCAGCACAGGTTTTCCTGTTTTCTAAACACTGAATCCAGTGTTCTGGTTTTGGATTTAGCCAACACTATATCTGTACATGACAGAAGTATGTACTCAGATATAATTGGAAGTCTAACTTTTACATTTGGAACTGGTTCTTTGAACTTGTTCACCAAAATTGTGTTGTTCTGCTTGGTGATTTAACTTTGAAAATTTTCATCTGCTATATTGCCTAGAGATGAATCTGAGAGGAAAGAAGTAATTAAACCAAACTAAAGGTATAATGCTAAAAACAAGGTCACAAGGTTTGTGATAGTCTTTTAAATTGCATAAAAATGGATACTCATGCCAAATTTTAAGAAAAGAATTTTAAGTATGTAGTTTTGTAACAATTGTGTTGCACTCTTCTAGGTATGTAGATTTAAAAAGTATACACAGTATGTATAGAATCATGTTCACTAGATAGTGAGATGTGAGCAGCCATTACTAAGTCTTGATTTTTACTATAGTATGTGTAGATTTCTATATGTACAGTTATGAGTTATGGTTATAAAAAGCTTTCCAGAACATAGAGCTACTTGGCTATTGTAAATCAGTACGTGTCTGCGTCCTTCCAGGGGCTCAATTTTGCCTGTGCTGCCAACAGTTTTTTCACCTTTGCCTGATTTTGTTGGCAACTGTGACTACTGTGATAACTTCCTCTAATGATACTGTTCTTTCCAGGCTAGGATAAAACTTGTTTGGCTTTTCCTTTACATTTTCAACATCTGAATGAACTTGATGTATTTTTTCCCATTTATGTTTGTGTAATATGTTGAGCATTGCCATTCCTGTACGTTAAATACAGCTGGGTCCTAGGCACACTTCTCTCTTGAATGGCTGAAATGACTTGGTAATACACTGTTGCAACCATTCTGTTAGTGGCCTCCATCTTCCCCTCTCAGTTGTTCTGAAGATCCAAGAAGAATAGCTAATGTTGAACAGAAAGGATGTTAAAAGTCAAATTTACATGTAGAGTTTCGATCGTTTGTAACTCTGAAATGTTCTCAAATGTTAGTCTGGCATCTTCCTCAGTCAGGTTTTGTAAGCTTGTGAAATCCTGTATTAGTAACTGAAATGAATCTTTGTATTTTCAAAGTGGTGCTTGCCAGGTATGTTTTCACAATGGCTAATAGTCTTTTTCCTTTGACTGTGGCTTTATATCAACAATGACATGAGGCTGGTCACCCTTATGATTAAAGAATCATGTTGCTTCAGGTATTGATACTTAGTTTTTGTGGCATTTTCGTTCTTTCCATTCTTGACATATTTCTTTTGTAAAAACTGCACACCCTTTATGAGCAGTTTTCCTCACTCCTCCTGACCACACTGAGTGGATCGTTGGCTATTTGGCAGTTTGTGTCATCTTAAGGTGTCTCCTTTACTTTCTCTGTCCTGATTATTATATTACTAGAAATTTGAAAACAAAATATTTTTTTCTGTTGTGCATTTCTTAAAAAGGAAACCCCTCCCAGACAAACTCTTCTTCCCCCCCTTGGCACAAACCAGCCTCCTCCCAGCTATTACTGTCTCTTTCCTCTTCTGATTAGAGCTCAGAATCTGTTAATATGGTCTTAATGGTTGCTGTCACACATGGTCTAATGAACAGATCTTGCTTACTGGTTTCAAGGTTCATCTTGAAAAGCTGAATGTCATGTGAGCAGAGGCAGATAACATGTCATGTAAAGATTTAGTTGAATAGGACAAAGATCTTCCCAGTTGTAGGTTCAAGTTGTTTTACTATGCAACATCTTGAAAGTTATTTGGTAGATAAGAGTATGACATGAACAAGCATAAAGTCAAACTCAGATTTTACAGGCGACTATTTTGTCAGTTTATCACATTTTGCATTGAAGACTAACTTGATTACTGCTTACCTTTCTGAGGAGTTGAAAATACGGTTTTGTAAATGAATTCTTCAGTATGTTCAGTGTCTACACTACAGCTTTTTTTCCTGTTGCGATAATTTTTTGGGGGGCAGGGGGAGACAGGGGTCTTTATCTCTGGCTTCAAATTTGAACAATACTGATCACAATTTCTGTAAGGAAGAAGTGAATTTTAAGCTGTAGAATTGGTACATCGGACTAATACTGTTTGGGTTAAACAATGTATTTTTCTTCTTTAGTGCTGAAGAACGTGGAAGTCTTTTAACATTTTTCAGAAGCCTTTCGTCTTATGCTGAGTGGTATGAGCATCGTAGATGCACCTTCCTACATTTCAAGGTAGTGTCTATCAAGCTTTTATGTATTGGTACTGTATTTAGTTCTTTAACTAGTTCGTTAAAACAGAGCAATGGAGGTGAAATTAGTGCTCTTTGGCAGAGTATGGGAATCTTAATTTTGTATGTTGTGGAGAAGAGTATATTAGAGAAGAGTATTAGCCCTTACTCGGTGTCTTGAATTTTTTTACCATGCTGTCATGTTCCTCATACATGGGGAAAATAAAAATATCTGTGCCTTTATGTTGGGGAGTAAGACAGGTTTTCATTGGTATTATGTTTTATTTTGACCAAAATAAAGGCAAAAGAGGAAATGAAAAAAAAAATAACATATGTAGTCTTTGGCACTGACATGTTCTGAAGGACTGGATCTGTCTCTTGAAAATGTGGCAGCATGTGTTCGGGCAAAGTGTTTTACTTGAATGTGAAATAAACTGTTCCTCACTTTTAACTGGAACATAGTATTTGAACTTAGTTTTAAATTGCCATTATTTGGCTTGTTTGTTTTGTCTTTGTACCAATTTTAAGGTAAACAACAAACCCTTAGAGTAAAAATACTGCAGTCTGGCAGACACAGAACGTCTTATATGATGCTTAATGTTAGAGGAGGATGTTTAGTGCTTAATTGTGTGTGTTTTTTTAATTCAGTTTTATTTACTGTTATTAAACTCAGCACCCTCTTTACTTTTCAGCTGTAGTAGGAAGTAGGAACTGCTTTGTTTCCTATTTTTTTGAATCTTTGAGGCCTTTCTGAGTTCTGTGCTACATTAAATGATTTCTAACAAAAGAAAAAGAAAAAAAAAAAGAATTCTGTCCTCAGCTGAGTAACAAACCGATGTCTAATCCTGCTGGTTTTTTTACAAGGACTTTTCTTTAATCCCTCCATAGAGAAGGTTGAGCACCAAGGGCTTTATGGTGGTTGGTTTTTGTTTGTTTTTTTCCCCAACTTGATACTTTCTGATGCTTGGATCAACTTCATGACAGCAGTCACTGTGGTTTCTGGGACAATGATTCAGTGAACTGGTTTCTTTTGAAAATTTAGTACAAAAATAAAAATAAAGGAGAGAGGTCTGGAGATTGTTGATATTCCATGTCTGAACAAACACTTTTAAAAACTGCTTAAGATACACACAATTTAAAACAATGTGGGGATATATTCATTGCTAGAAGATGTGTGAAGATAAATTCGTGAAGACATGTCTTACAAGTTTGTCAGTATTACAAATATTCTTTCTAAAGGTATTTTTCTTTCTGTGGACAAAGATGCTGTTGAAAAAGGCAAACCAATTTGGGATAATATTTATCAAGTATGATTGACTTTGTGCTTATGAAGAGTCTTTAGGCCTTCTTATTTCTGCTGTCATTAGAAATGATTTCATTTAGAAATAAAGGGTTTAGAGATTGAATCTGACAATTCAAATACCAGATTGCTAAGGAGAATGTGTATTTGTAACCTAATGTTCTGTAGTAATTTGTGTGAAAGCAACTAGAAATATGCTTTTAACATATATAAAAAAACAACTGAAGAGGCTTACACTAGTAAATACTCATACTCGAACAACATTAAATAATGTGTCTGTAATCTTGGGTTTGTTTTCTTTTTTTTTTTTTTTTTTCTACATGTTTGCTAGACCTAGAGGCAGGTAACTGTGCACAGTATTAGAGAGATTATTTGGGGGTGGGATTTGGGGTTTATATGTTTTCATCAATTTGTTATTTAAAAGATTATCCAGACTGTTAAGTAGGAATAGAGAGTGCTTCTAATAGTATTCTATTGGAATCTGTTAGTTACAGTGTAGTGTAAAACCAGGAAAGGTAGATTATTTGTTTCTTTTAGTTTGGTACTTAAGAAAGGAATAATGTAGAAGTGATTGAATACTTCAAATAATAATGAATGTTTGAAATGAATGACAATTGCAAGTTTCAAGCAAAGTTGGATAGCACTGTATTTCTAAAAAGTTGACTGTCACAAACAGCAGATTTGTAGTGAGAGTCTTCCCAGTTATCAAGAGTGATGGTAATGTTCAGCTGTAAGCATTTTGTGCTCTGCATGATATGCTCCCTGACATTGTGCTTCAGCAATTGTGTTTTTTTTACTGAAATAGGTTATTGTACAACTTGAATGCTTCGCACACACAATGATTGATCATACAGTTACTAACTAACCTCTGCTGCTGCTCCTCTATTCTACTGGGGAAATCTACAAGGTAGTGCTTTAAATAGATTTTTTGAAGGGATAAGTGACACATCCCACAAGTGTTTTGTATGGCATTACTTATATGGCAGGTCTTACTGTATTGCCACAGTAAATACTGTGTCTGCAAAATGGATTTATGTCTGTGAATAATTTTCTGATCTGAATATGCTCTAAGTCTGCTATGAGGGTGAACAACTGAAGCATGTTGGCATTGCTGGAAGAGCAGGTTATTGAAGCTGATATTGATAAACAAGAAAAAAAATTCAAGTTTTATTGGAAATACAGAACACGAATGAGTGACAGGAAAAAACCAGAATGGTGTACATTCAGCTTGATATTAGTACTAGTCACACAAATAGGTAAAAACTCCTGCATACTGACGCCCTTCTCACTTAATGATTTGAATTAACTTGCTATGAATAGGGAAAGTAAATTAAAACATAGAAGATAAGTTATTGCCTGCATGAGGCATAGCAGTTGTCTGCTTTGGTTTGCTCACAAAATATTAAGAGCTTTCATTAGTGTTATTGTTGATACTTAGTAATTTTTCAAAAATATATAGAACATTTTAATGCAAAATTAATAATGTAGTAGTGATTAGGTCTTAGAATGTTTACATGTGTATATATTGCATAAATGTGCCTATATTTGTGTATACACATAGAATTGTTTTCATAGAAAGAGTTGATGATATTTACTGATCCTAATAATGTCGGAAAGAGCTTTATTTAGTAAATAAGATCTGTGATGAGAATAAGGTCAGATGCCATTGGTTATGTATTAAACTTCTAGCTGAGTTTTGCCTATCTTAGTCATTTATCAAAAGAGGGATGAGAGAATTGCTGGCTTGCTTTTTTCCTAGTATAAATTATGCTTTGGGGTGATTTTTTTTATTTTTTTTTATTTTTTTTTTTACCTTTTGTTAAAAACCTGGAAACAGCAAATTTTTCTGATATAGGAAATTGAAAACCAAGTATTATTTTCACTGTTGGACTCGGTTGTGTTCTCAGTTATATTAAGACAATGGAATTTCTTTCTTATTATACCAAATAACTTAAAATGGAAAATATTGCATTGCTTTGGCCTTCTTGGGTAATGGGTTCAGGGCAAAAATATTTTTGTCTCACATTTCATAATCGCATTCTCCTTACCAGAAAGATGAGCCCACAGCTGATGCTTGACATACTTACTAAAAAACTGACTGAAAGTCACTTAGGTCTCAACACTTGTAGTGGCAGAGTATCAGTATGTTCAGTATTCAGTTCAGTGTACACTTAATTCCCCACAGCACAAGCACTAACAAATCATGGGCTAGCTAAGCAAGATAAACGTAACTAGTAAAAAATATCTTGTGAAATCATTATTCTAGATGTAGCTGTATATCATCATGCATTTGATGCTTAACTATTTCTACAAATTAGGAATCTATATTAGCTTCAAAATTAGTACAAAGTTGATGTGGTAATAAGTAGCACATTTTTGTCTTTTGTTTATCTGGAGAGTTTACATGTGTGGTAGGTATTTGAGGGGAGAAGCTGAAAATGAATGCCAGAAATGTGTAGTTGTGTAATTAGAAACATTGTATCCTCTATCAAGTATGTCCTGTTTTAGGTGAACTGGCAGTTGAGGCCTGCACACATTGGTTTACGTTTTTAATACATTGTGTGGTTTAGAGTGAAATGATACTTTAAGTTAACGTTATTTTTAGATTAACAATAGAAACAACTTTTGAATTTAAAGATCTGATTTGTTTTTTCTTTTTTTCCCCCCTAACGAGCAAACATATAGTTATACAAGGGTAGTTCTGTTTCTTCTTTGCACTGATGTCTATCTGAGATTTTCCTTATATACAAGTAGTATTGAACATGAATTCAGCTTTGCTGTTTATTGTCACATTTTCTTGTCAAGGAAAAGCAGGAGAACAAAGCTTGGTCTGCATCATCTGTTAATAAGAAAGATACTTGGAGTCATACTATGCTGTGCTTTGACCATTGTATTAAAATGAGAAGCTAGTGTTCCAAAAATAACTTTTGTGAGTACAGATGAGCAAAAATTATATATTTCAATTAAAAATACCTTGTGTAAAAATATAATGTGTATATACACACTCTCAGGTTGTTTTGAAAGCAAAATAGAAGGCATTTAACCCATCTTTGAGAAGTTCCACTTGCTATGTTGCTTGGTACACTAAGCCTAAATAGGAATTACTTTAATTTTCCACAAACCAAGTTTTTAAGGAAGTTTAAATGATGTTAAGCTTTGAGAAGTTCTATTTCTAAACATAACTTTCTTTAGTCTGCAACTTGATCCAATACACTTTTGAAGGTCAACTGAAAAGTTTCATTTCAAATTAAAAAATGTGGGATTGGAATTAAGTTGTGATTTCCTCTGTAGCTTGCTCAGAGTGTTTTGCATTCATCTGAAAATCAAATGAAAGCTAGTAATTGTTCCGAGTACTGGTAGAGAATGTGACCAACCAATTACTTGTGTGAATTCTACCTACACATAAAGAATATGTGGTGAAATGAAAGTTGAGAAGATATGTGTGTGCATGTATGTATTTTTAATAGAAGAGATTCTGAAAGCATGGGTGACATTGTAACTACAAAATAAAGTGATTTTTGAAATAGTTCTGTAAGAGGAGAACCACATTTCAAGATAGTAAAAGGTTTTGGGAAAATGGCATTAGTAAGGAAGAGGGTATAAGCATGTAAAGAGAGGAAAAAGAATGATCTTTTGTTACCATGTTTAAGTTTTGACATGTACAGTCATGTAAGTAGTGGCTAGTAGTATGTTCCTACAGGCAGTGTTCTCAAGCAGGAAAATGCATTAACATGCTTTGCCAAGAGGATTGGATTGCCTTCCATCCTTATCTCATCCATACGTGTGCGGATGTAACGTGTGTTATTAGATTTGCAGAACGTGTCATCGGTGATAGTGGTAATATTGTTGTACTGCAAAAAAAAACCACAAAACAACCAAGTTTTTATAAACAAACACACATTTTCATACACCCCCCATAGATGTTGAAGAATTTTCAAACCTTAATTTTCTCTCTCTTACCCTCTGATTTTATTGTCATTGGAATTGATTTGTGGATACTTTAGACATGTAGGCATTGAATTTCTTCAATCAATGAGCTGATAAGCAATTTGAGGTTGTTATTGATGTTTGAAATGTGTTACTGATAAAAGATCGTTGCTTATTTTTGCAATTTCCTATCGTTGATGTACAGAAATGAAGGAGAAATTCTTGCATGGTAATTAGCTAAAAAAACTTGCGAACTTTTGTATGATTGTGGCAATACAGATGAGAGGTAAAGTGTTTTTTTTGGAGGAGTGTTAGCTGTAGCACAACTGCAGAGTGAACCCTTTTTAAAAGGCAGCGGGTTTGGCTTGACGTATGTAACTAATGAGGCTTTTTTTAATAGCATGTTAAAGAAATACTTTAAAAATACCTGAAGGTGAAGAATACGCAGACTTTCCGGCAAGTTAAGGGGAACAGATTCCAGTGCGTTATGTCCTAAGTAGAGGTAGGCCAAGTTTGTCAGCTTCTAATAGGAAGAAAGAGAGATTATTGATGCTAATATTACTTATTTGAGGTTAAGTAACTTGCCTCTTACAAGACATCAGTAATTTTTCAGATTACCTAGCCTGTGAAGTGGTCTAACATGAAACCTCTTTTGCTGTAAACGCTGAATTCTATTGTATCAAGAAACTCATAGAGCAGGCCTTCTGTGTTCTGGAAATTTTGAAATTTCACTGTCAGCTTATTTGCTATGGTGTTTGAGCCATCAATTTTTGAATTGAGTTTTTCTTTGCATGTATGAGAGAAAGAAATGTATTTAATAGAAAATTTTTGTATATGAAGGACATGAGAGTGTGTGTGCACAAAGGACTATTCCAGAGTGCCTTAAAAACAATAAAAACTGGAAAGCTTCTTCATTGTAGTTTTTTTCTTATGTTACAAAAATACAGAAAATTTCATTTGGTGCTATACTGCATAGTCTGGTTACTAATTTTCTTTGCTTTGGTTACCTAAATTATTGTCTCTTACTTACCTTGAAAGCATTTGCTTTGATTCCTCTGCTCTTGATTCTGTTTTGGTTTGCATTAAATGTTGTTAGTTTGGGAGGTAGAACAGGAAGTTTTAGAAGTCGATTTTCAGCAAGAGAAAGTTCTTCTAGTAACAGAAGCTTTGAAAAGGCTCCATCTTCTATTTCTTCTATCCTGTTTCCACTAAAATCAATTCTTCTCAAGGTAGCTTTACACAAAAGAAACAAAAATCTAAATATTGAATTTGTATAACTACATGGCATGTGAAACGTGTATGGTTGTATACATTCAGTGTTACACTGTTGATTGAGTCATCCTAATTGTGATCTACAAGTGTAAATACTGTCAAAATATGGATGAAACCCACCTTTGGATTTCCTCATGGTCTTAAAAAAATAATAAAAAAGGAAAATACTCTGGATCCTTCCTTTTTTATTTTTTTTATTAACAGTATTATTGCGGTTATTCATAGTTTGTTGTGTTGTACTGCGAG